CATTAGTGTTCGTATAAGCTGAGAAAGACGGATATGCTGACAGAGTGAGGCTTGTTTACTTCTAAATGCATGGCCCGAGGCTGAGTGACTAAATCTCCGCATGATCATGGCGTTCTTTCAAGTTTGAGCTCATTAATGCTTGATTAATTTGGCTCCACTTTGACAACCAGCGAGACGCTTCTTGTTTCGCGTCCAAGGCCTGCCTCTTGCTCTACATTATATCATCATGCAGTTATATATGTATATATATACTACTCAGAACTCTGTACATGAATCTTGGTGCTACGTACTCGTATCACATGCTTTTTTTTCCCTTTGTATTATCTCTTTCAAACTTTACATGTCATATATGTCATTGTAGGATATCTGCACCAAATACAATGGAAGATTGCATTAGCTTTTTGACGGGTTTAACTATGAGATTTTGCCCACACATTCAGTTTGGTCTTGTGGATATGTATAGAGGAAGCCTTTGGGGTTGAGTTTTCGAGTCTGGTGATCTGGCCGTTGCTTGTTCACACTCCATATTTCTGGTGAGAGCTTTTAAGTCTTCTATAATCTTGGCGCAAGTTTATTTTTTCATCATCCTGAAGATTATATGTAGATAAATAAATCACTGATCAAGAGGTGGTTCTCTTAAAATTCATGAACCATGAGCGCTGTACTGGTCATGTATAGTTTATTTGGTTCTGGACACGCATCTTTTCGTTGTAGTTTCTCAAATATATGGCTCCTACAATTTAATGAGTACGGCTCCTTAATTATACGGCCATGCATACATAATATTGTGTGTGAGTTTGTGAAAACGAATGCACGCATACCAACCTATTTTCTAAAAAGCAGCAATATATACCACTACTACAAAAATATCCTACAATAGCCCTTATATTTTGCCTACAAGAACACTTTTAAAGTGCTCTTGTAGCCAACGCTTTCATATACGAGAGTGCTTCAGAAATACTCCTATAAGGATGTCCTACAAGAGTGCTTTTAGGAAAAGAGCTTTTATAGGCTTTTCCAAGCTAAGTTCTATTGAAAGCCTATAGAGTGCTTTCTTATAGAAGCGTTCCTATGAGAAAGGTTTATAAGAGCACTTTTCTTAAAAGGGCTCCCATATCCTTCTCTCACAAGAGTGCTTCTTTCAAAAGTGCTCTTATAGCTCCTCTATTTTTTAAAATAAAAATTTCATCTTTTATATGCATTTTCCTTGAAACTCATTTACAAATAAATGATCCAACAATATTATCACAATCTAATATCCTTAGACAATAATAAAAACTTGTAACACAAGTATTCAACCAAAAAACTTGCAAAATAAAATTGAACACCACAACATGATGAAAATATAGACTTCCATTTAAAATTAAACATACAATCTACTTGTGGATTTGGTAACCACAATCTCAATCAACTACTCTAATCACAAAATGAGTGAAAAATAGTTAATCTAATATTCTAAATATTACACTGTAAGAAAAAAATGTTTAAAACCAATAAGAAAGGTTAGCTTGCTAATTAAGGTACAAGAAAGAAAAATCATGCACTATTAGAACAATGCAAATTAGCGAGAAAATTTAGTAAGGGATCATCTATTCTTCTCTAAAATACTATATTAGCGAGGAATGTTAATTTCATAGCTTAATTTAAAATTAGCAAGAAAAATAGCAAGGGACTGTTAATCCCTCTCTAAAATAAGAAAATTAGTGAGGAAAATAGTGAGAGACTATCAATCTCTCTCTAAGATAAGACAATTGGTGAGGACTACTAATCGTTCTCTAAAATAAGAGAATTAGCGAGAAAAATAATGAGGAACTATTAATCTCTCTCTAAAATAAAATAATTAGTGAGGGATTCTATCCTTAACTAATTATTGCAAAAGAAAAAAAATTAACTTTTGATAATAATTTTTAATTATATATTTAATTATTTTTATTTAACAATAAAAATTAAATTTTAAAATTAACTAAAATATTCAAAATAAAATTATTTAATATTTAATATTTCCTTTATTTTAAGTTTATTTTCATTAATAAAACAATATTTTATTAAAAATATAATATAAAGAATAATTTAAATAAAACATAAATATTTTTAACATACTAATAATTGAAAATAAAATTTAATATGCATATATGAGTGTATTTTTATGATATATTATGTGATATATTTATATAGTTACATAATATATATTTAATTTCTCATATAATGATTGCAGATACCTTTCAGTTCAACTGACAAAAAAGAAGAGCATGAGGCTTAGAAGGTATGAGGTCAAGGGCTTAAGTCTTAGTTTTGACATAAACAGAATGAATATATGATATAGTAACGAGCAAGTGATATGATGCAAAGTAGATAATGACATGTCATAAGTTATGTCACATGTGACAAGTGATGGGACAAAGATAATAGGTGACATGGCGGTTGACAAGACATGAGGTTGTCGGTGACATGTCATAAGTTGACGCACACATGGAAGGTAATGTGACATCACTATTTTTAAATATAAATATATTTAGCAAAGGATTAGCGAGAAACTAATCCTTCACTAAATTATAAAATTTTGAATAGTATTAGTGAGGGACTGAATCCCTTGTTAATTAGAACGAATTTAGTGAGGGATTAATTTAGTGAGGGACAAAATCCCTCACTAAAATGCAATATAACTAAAAAAATATGACATTGTTGCTAGCTAAATTGTATTTTTCTAGCCGTGACATAAGGAGTCACCATGAAGGAGCCATTGCCTCAACTATGTACTTAAAAAGGTGATGTTGTGTAATGGGGGAAGCCGTAGGAGAAGAAGTCATTGCTAAAGATATGACCTATAACCAAAATTCTAATGCATAAATTACTAGACAAAAGATTGAATCAAGGAAGACATGTAAAAGCTCAAAGCCTTAATTTATTATAACCACAACCCAAAATCCATAAAGATACAAAGATAATGTGGGAGTTCAATAAGTTGAAAGTAGACTATTCAAGAACCCTAACCTTGGAGATTAATTGCCTAAATTCCATGTTCTTTCTTACTCACAAACCCATGGAAGAAATATAGATCTAAAGAATGTAGAAGACGCAATTAAGATCTGAAGACTTATGTCACGGGACCATTATTCTCTCCTCAAAAAACTAACTCATTGAGGTGTGCAGTGCACCCATTTATATAACCAAGACCTTCCTCAAGTCCCTCTAATGTGGGACTTGACAACTCTCCCAACCAATTCGAGATGCCTCAGTCACGGGTGGCCTACCAGAGGGGCCCACCAACTGAGGAAACTCGAGTCTTGCTCTAATATCACTTTGTCACAAGGCTATTACTCTCTTCTTAAAAAGCTAACTCATTGAGATATGCAGCACACCTACTTGTATAGCCAAGACCCTCTTCAAGTCCCTCCAATGTGGGACCTGACACTTAGCTCTATAAATGGATGAAGAAAAATGAAGGTTGGATAGAGAAGATGCGGCTGAAGAGGAAGATGTGGCGTTGATGGTTCTTAGAAGATGAAGAGATAACGCGTGATAATTCTACCAAAAGTATGATGGGACAGGCGACTCTACTAAATGGAGTTCTTCAACAGTGGCGTAGCTAGCTTCTCAAACATTTGACAATGTCTTGACGATCTTGGAGGTAGTTAGTAGCAAGGGTCTCGGTTTTAGGTTTTAAACTATCAAAGAAGAATAGGAAAAGTGAGAGATGGGTGAGGGCTTCACCAAAATAATAACTGCTAAAAAGTGATTTTTATTTTTTTAAATAAAGATCTCTCTTATAGGATAATTTCTTTTATTTTTGAAAGCCTTATCCAATCGCGCTTTAAAATAAGCGCTCTGTGATATTATTTCATTTTTTAAATGATCATATCTTATGAGAGTATTTATATCAAAAGCGCTCCGATAGAATCCTATTATTGAAGCACTTTCTATCAAGCCCTTCAATAAGATATTTTCTTTTTCTTAATTAACTTTGCACTAAACCTATAGGCGTACTTCTTAAGCAAGCACTTCATTAAGTATGTGTTTTATTTTTTATTTTTTGAACAACCATTTTTGGAGTGCCTTTCTTTTTAAGAGCTTCTAAATATTATATCTTTTGCAGTGCTTATACAAAAAAAGTGCTTCGATATATTTCACATGCTTTTTTTGGAGCTCTTTTTTTTAACAAGCACTCTAAAATGAGCACTCCTAAATGACTTTTTAGTAGTAGTGATATCAAAGATTTTTGGAATCTTAATTAATTGAACAAAATTATTAATTATTCATATGCCATAGGAGCAGAACACCTGACTGAACTGATCTCTCTTCTGTTTCTAATGCTATTGATCTTTTGACATAGAACGTGGTGGTGAATAATGAAAATATAAAAGAAGTTAGGAATAAATATGTGATTATATTATTCACATGAGTGATATTATTACATAATTTGAGTGATATTATTACATAATTTGAGACAAGTTTAGATATGTGCATTTGTAATTCTCATTATTCTAAAAAATGTAATTTATTTCTACACTGCATTTGTTAAATTGTCTGGCACTAATAACCTTTTTTTTTTAATCAGTACGCTGGTTTTTCAAAGTTCATTGTGTATGTGAGTGGGAAAGGAAAACAAAGGGATCAATATTGTTCTATATCACACACACACACGGTTGCAAATTCTTCTAATTTCTTACTCTACATGGTTACATATATAGTTTTTTTTTTTTTGATAAACGGTTATATATGTATATATATAGAGTTAAGTAGAAGAAAGAATTGCAGGGAGCGAAAGCTGTTTTGTTAGAATATATATAGAATCAAAGAAATATTGTCAGAATGTACCTACAATGTCAGATTCCTTTCCTACACACAACGTGACAACGCCGCCACCACCTTTCATAGTTAATTTCTTCTTAATTTGATGTTCCATCTTTTCGCGATCTTGAACAGCCGAACATTGGAAAAACTGAAACTACTTATTCTCATTCCAAATTTGCAGTGCATTGGTGATGTCACTGAATTTGGGCGTTACTAATTCACATGAGGTGGATTTTGACAGAGAGATTATTCAAGGAAGGACACATCATCATCATCGTCTTCCCATGAATTACTGTTTTATTGGTATACGTACTGATTTCAAAAACCAAAGAGCAACTGGTAAATTAAAGATTAAATATTCAGCATTTCCAGCAAGAAGCTGCAACAATTGGCTTTGATTTCCATCCAAGCACCAAGCATCCTTTCTCTTCCACAACCGAATGACCATCACTGACCCCTTTCTTCTGTAGCCACTGCTTGGCCTGAGCCACCGTCTTGATAGGTGCGGCCTGAAACCCGGCCCGGCTCATCCTCCTGCGCCACTGGTCCAGTCTCTCGTGCCTCTCTACCCTCGCTGGTCCCTCACAGCTCACTATGTTCTTTATCTCCTCTGCGAAGTAAAACTGTTCTATTTTGGCCCGCTTTGTGTCATATTTAGGCAACACAGCATCAAGTGAGTCAAAAATTGCAGAGTAATAGTGCAGTGCTTCCATGAATCTCCCTAGAAAGAAGGGCCCGTTGTGACTAGAATCCTGCTCAACCATGACAAACAGTTTTGGTGAGAGCTTATGGATCATCTGAAGCGCTGAGTTCAAAGCTCCACGACTTTCTTTCACCACACAATGCAGCTGAAGAATGCTGTTCACGACAAGAACTTCACCTTCAACGACTTCTATATCACCAGGACGCAAATTTTCCAAGTTTTTCTGCACCGCTGAGAATTCCAGATTGATCCCCAACTTTTTCGCATAAACCTCGAGTTCTTCACCTATGGCCTGGAGTCTCTCAACACAAAGGCCGACGCCGGTAATTCGAAGACGGTGAACGAGTTGGCCGGCGCGGTTTGCAAGACCCTGGATCAGTCCTCTCCATTGGTGTCCATGGGGAAGACCAAGGCTCATCCCCAAGTCCACCACGTGCAGAAAACTCTGACCCTCAAAGGCTTCCGATATTGTGGAGTTAGCCACGAAGTGACCAAACTGAATATGTGGGCAAATCTCATACATTAACTTATAAGCTTCTTCCATTTTTTCAGAAGCTGTATCCATAATATTCATTGTAGGTGCTATAGATCCCACAGCCCCGATGGGCTGAATCAAGGCTAGACGATCAGCTAGGCCTTGGACGAAACAAGAAGCAACTCTTTGGAAAGACGAGCCGAACACCAAAGCATTGGTTCTAAGTTCAGATAGTAAGTTGGAAGCATGTGATTTGTCACGACAAGCCACAGCCTCCGCGGAAGCAATTAGAAGTTGAACAAGTCTCATTCCGTCAGCATATCCATCCTTTTCAGCTTCATCAGGACTTGCTTCAGAATCGATCATCTCTTTCACTGCCTCTTCAACAGCTTCAGCTGCAAGGTACCTCTGAGTATAAGTCCATACGTGATCCCTGAAATGAAGCCTCGGCAGGAAATTCATACTGCTGCTATGTGTAACCCAGCCATAATGATAGCTACTACTTCCACTGCTCGAATGACTGGTGAAATTTCCAAACACATCAGACATGCCTATGGTTCTCTTAATCATTTTTATGTCCCTCTTGGTTTCATCATCATCAGAACGAGGAAGGATCCAAGTGGAAGCTGTGTTCTCCGAGGCTGGTATGCGAGGATATGCATGGCAACCCATTGCTGCGAGTCGAAGACTGAGGCCAAACACTGAATTTTCATCATCACCAATCTCATCCTTGACGACCCTATGAAGAGGAGGATACATCTCTTAAATCTCTGACCTTCCTTTCCTTTCTGTTCTGCTTTCGAATTCTGAAAGGCCGTTATTAATATTTGTGTCGACATTTTCAAGATCTTGTATTTGCATGTTGTTGGAAGATACAAACGTTACAAAAAGACAGACAAATAAGACACGGAAATTAATTAATATTAATGTGATAGTTGTCAAAGGGAAGTGAAGCAATATATGTTAGATGATTTTTTTTCATCTAGTGTTGGTCCAAAAGACCAAGATTTCATGCAGCATGCATGATCGTAATTTATTAAAATTGTGTGATGCATGCAAATCTGATTATATTGTTATCCTTGTTTCTCCTCCAGTTCTTCACATTCAAGTCATGAGATATAACTTTGTAATTTTATTAAAAAAAAATCATAGTCAAAGAATCGGTCATTAATCTCAATCTATAATTAAGGCTCGGCTTAGATGCACTTGGATGAATATAGAGGTTTTCACGGGAGAGAGTAGATTTCCAGAGAAGCTAACGTGTCAAATTTTGTGAAGACCAAGAACCAGATGTTTGAGACCAAATCCTCGGTGTGACGTCAAGTTTATTACATGAATCGCCGGTGGACATGAATAGTTATAGAAATTAAATAAAAGTCAAACAATGCTGATTGATTTCTTTTCATGTGTCGATAATAATAAATTAGTAGATGATTATATTACCATCTTCATGCGCCTAGCTTATTAATTATTACTATCTTCCCTTAGCTCTTGTGCCTCTTTTTTCTTAAATACTAGGCAACGATCTTGTTCTATGTCTTCGAATATTCTGACGCCTGACCTCCCAAATCATAGGGACAAGTAATGCCCAATGCAAACCTGTCTCCTCTGCAGAGCATACATATATAGTTGCGATATCTCTCACATCGCTAAATATTATAAAGGTATAACTACATTAATAATTGTTGGCAATGGAATTTTATGAGCAACATCGATCTATTATTTAGATATGCATAATTACGTGACAAGGAAATAATTATAGAAAAAAGCCATCCTCGTTGCATTGTAAAATAGCATATAGTCTATGTAATTTAAGCAAGAAACATTTATCATAAAATATGAGCGCTCCTGCATCGCAAGAGATCGACCTGGATGTTCTTTATCTGGCATCGTCAACCAATTCCTATTCCAATGCACACATTCAGCCATGGGCTTAATTACATGTTTGATATATTCAAAAAGTATTTTTTTTAAAAAATGAGAAATATATTTAAAAAGAAAATGAGATATGAATATTTCTTATTTCTTTTTGATGGAAAATATTTTTTTATCTACTAAATATTACATAAAAATTTAATTAAAACCAAATGCGTGGCATATGTCATTATATGGAAATATGGACTGGACTGACTAGTTCAACACTTAAACCAGTGACCCAGTCTCTTTCCCGATTTAGGTTTCCATCTAAACCGGTTAGCCACTAATCCAATGTGACCCGCCTGACCCGAGATAACCCAGTCGAGTTGTTAGGTCAGCCGGGTCACTTTTTGTTTTTATTTTTTAAAAATTGTAAAAATTAAATAAAAAATTTAACTTGAAAATTAAAAAAGCAAGGCAACGGAGGGCAAGGCAATTAAAGCAAATTTCACTTTTTGTGATTTAAACTTTAAATAAAGAGCCTTAATTGTAAGTTTGAACTTAAAAAACTCAGCATTTTCTAAGTTAATTGTGTTCTAATTGTTTTAATCTTTCATTATTTATTGTTGTTTATTTGTCTGATTGTTGCTTAACATTTATAAATTATGATTGTCATTGTTGATGATTTTAGTATTAGTAATTATTAATTTTAAACTTTTTAATGATGAAAGGGTTGTAAATTGTAATTGTAAGAATGAATATTTAAAAAGTTATATTTTATTATCGTTAGACTTTTGAATGATTGTAATTCTATAATTATTATTATTATTGTATTTATATCTTGTATTAGATATTAATCTTGAATTTGGTTGAATATTTTTATGATTAATATCTTTTTATTTAAATTATATTATTTTAATCATGATCGATTTGTCCTTTGAGTTAACACCCAGGGTTGAACCATTTAGTGTGTATTTAGATTAAAAAATTCTACAACTGAGGTTAGATTCAACTGAGATTAAGAAAAAAACCTGTGATTTTAACATGATTTGTGTTTGGATGCTTTTTTTCAAAAGTTAGTTGAACAAATTAAAATTTGTTTGGGTGAATTGATTTAAAAGCCAGTTAAATTATATAATAACAAAAATAGACATGAATTTATATATATATATATATATATGTATATATATATATATGTATGTATGTTTTGTGTGACTAACTTGATATTTTTAGAAAAAAAATATTAAACTTAAAAAAATTTAAAAAAATAAATTTCAAATATAAAATGCATTGATAAATCAAAAATCTTACTTTCTAAATAGGTATAATTAAATGATAAAATTCAAAATATTAAGTATTGAAAAGCTAAATTAAATTTATAAATTATAAAATATTTCATTCATATGAGCTACAATTTTATTTTAAAAAGGTAGAATTAACAAATCTAAAATAAAAATTAGTTTTGATGTTTAATGACCAAAAAGAATATAAATTTTATGATATATATTTTTATGATCAATTTAATATTTTTAAGAAATAAATATTAAACTTTAAATTATTACAATTATATTTTAAAAAGATAGAATTTAAAAATTTAAAACAAAAATTCAAAAGCTAAGGTTGTGCCTTTTGATATAGAAACACTAGCTTTGGCAATAATATGTCTCATCCAAGTAATCAATTTCTATTCAAGCTCTTTAGGTTTGCCTTATTTTTCCCCCTCAATCCTTCACTGCCAACAAGCTTCACAAATGACTGAACAAAAAGAAAATGAACGAACAAAACCCAACATTGATGGAGCAATCACGTAGTGCGGTGGGTGAGGACAAAAGAAAGAGACCTGGCATTAAATGCTCCCCTAACACCCATTTCCGACCAACGCTCAGTGCAAAAGCTAGAGCAATCAGCTTTGTCAAAAATGTTCATTTGGAGCATAATATTAGTTGACATTTTTCTTAATCCAAACATAATTTTTTGACCTTTTAACATCTCAATTTAAGTTTAAATTATCCCAACTTAAGTTAGAATGTTATCCAAACATACACTTACTCATAATCCATTGACTTGACTAATTTAATAATCGATTTAATTTTTAATACTTTGATGTACGTACATTTTTGTAGCTTCGTATCTTTTTAATCGGCATTGTTATCTTGGTCAAATAATAATAATAATAATAATCAGCATTGTTATGATGTCGTGTCTGAGATATACGCAGCATTCGGAATGGAATTCCGAGCATTTGGCGTTGAGGCCCACAGTTAGGCTTGCATTGGTTTTTTTTCCCCCTCCGACAGTGTGTCAGTTTGGATTTAAGTTAAATATAATAAATTATAAAAATAATTAATTAAGTGATATATTTTAATCATAATTGATTATATTATAACATAATTTATTTGGATACTGTTTTTTTAAAATTAATTTTAACAGAATTGAAGATGTTTGGATAATTTAATCAGAATTAATTTTTAGCTATATAAATTACTATATAATTTAATTTTTAAATATAAAATATTAATTTTTGGAAGATGTAAAGTTTAAATTTTATTAAAAAAAAGGAAAAAGAAGAGAGTTTGATTTTATTTTTATTAAATTATGTGTTTTTTTTTTGTAATTTTTGCTTGGGCCTGTGTTTGTAATTTTCTCCAACAGTTTGGACAAGCTTCTGACAGAACTCAGATGAAAGTAGCTTACAGAAAAACGTGTGTATGAGCTCAGAATCAATTTTTGTGCTTTTCTGACTATTTGGATAATTTGTTGAAAAAATTAATTTTAAGGTTCAAAACACGTGTTTTTTCCTTATATAAATAGGCACAGTGTGACCTTAAATTGTTTTAAAAGTCTTAGTTCATAACATAACGTCATAAACTCCATTTAAAACAAAGCCTTTTTTTGGCAGATTGGGAGTACCTTCCATCAGCAAAAAAAATTAAAGGTTTATTTAATAACATATTTTGAGAATAATTTTTTATTCTTCAGAATAAAAAAATTCATTCAATAACATATTTTTAAAAAATATTTTAGAAAATAAAAAAAATAAAATATTATTCTAAAGAATAGAAAAATAAAAATAATTTTTTTTTTGTTTTGGAATTATTGTTTTGAAGAGAATAAAAAAGAATGAAAAAAATACTTAATTTGATTATTTTTTATCCTCAAAATATATTTTATAAAATGTCAATTTTCAAAACAACAAAATAAAGATAGGTTAAACGGCACTAACTCTCTCACATGTAGAGGACAAATGGCAAAAACCTCTTTCTAGACCATCCATGTTGATAACTCGTGCAAGCACCAAAACTGTAAGAGGCAAAAGCAAGAGAAAGATCAGACAGACATGAGGTTTGTGGAGTTATTATTATTTTTTTTTCCTTTTTGAATTAGGGTTTGTGGAGTTCATGTGTGGAGAAAGTGAGAGTCATTCTTGAATTTGTTGACCCTTTCTTTGAAGGCGGTTTCGGAAGTGACTTTTGGAGTGCAAGTAGCATAGCGTGGTGTGGGACCCTGCCTCTTTCCACGGCATTTGTTTCCGCTTCCGCAACAAACTTTGTTTTCCAACACGTGGAAGGTGGCCCCTCTCCTGTGTTTTTAATTTTTTTCATCCTTTCTTTGATCCTTATCTTGCCCTCTTATGCAACGTTGACATGACTTCAACATTCATACCGCCTTCACTGGTGTAATGTTACCATGTAAGGTTACTTTCACTCATCGGCTGGCCTTATCTCTTCCTCTTGCGTGGCGGGTCACCACTTAGCTTCTTATTTTCCATTCCTCCATCCACTACATGGATAATATTACTATGAAGAAGTTGCCTCCCAAAATGGCTTATTTTGCTGCATTTCCATTCTTTTGAATGCAAAGGAATTGTTTCATGTGTTCATCAATAATATGTGTACGAGCAC